GCAGGATTGGCAGTAGGGAAACTGCTAGGGAGAGAGGGACATACCTCATCAACAAAGGTACCTGCATAATCAACGTTTGTATACCTAACCCTGAACTGTATCCCACATCTTTATAATTAAAAATAATAATAAACTGGGCTCGGTGGCTCAGCCTGTAATCCTGCTTTTTGGGAGGCTGAGGTGAGTAGATTGCCTGAGCCCGAGGGTTCGAGAACCGCCTGGCAACTTGGTGAGACCTCATCTCCACAATAAATCAAAAAATTAGCTGGGCATAGTAGCGTGTGCCTGTGGTTTTAGCTACTTGGAAGGCTGAGGAGGAAGGATCGCCCGAGGCCAGCAGGTCGAGGCTGTGGTGGCCGGGAGTGGTCACTGCACTCCAGTCTAGGCGACAGAGTGAGACTCCAACTCAAAAAAATAAATAAATAAAATAAATAAATAAGTAAAACTGTTATTTTCACACAAATGACATATTTAGGTTACTAGATAATAAGTAAGTAGCAAGGTTACAGAATTAAATTAAATATACAAAAATCAATTATATGCCTAAGTCAACAATCAGAAACAAAAAATGTTTTAAATGCCACTTCTAATAGCATCTAAAAATATTAAATTCTTAGGAACAAATCTGGCAAAAGATATATAAACCTGTACCAAAGAAACTATGAGAGAAAGAAGACCTACATAAACACATGTAGGCCATGTTCATAGATCTGAGATTCAATCTTGTTATAATATCAATTCTTCCCAAATTGATCTACAAAGTCACTAAATCAAAATCACACACCCAGTAAGCTTCATGTAGAAACTATCAAGCGGACTTTATAATTCATATGGAAATGCAAAGAACCTAAAATAGCCAAAACAACTTTGAAAACAAAGAACAAATTTAGAAGACAACTACCAGATTTCAAAACTTATTATAAAGCAAGAGTAATCAACAGTATGGTATTGGCATAAGGATATACATACAGATCAATAAAACTGAACAGTCCACTGAACTACAGATAACATCTATATACGTTCAGTCTATTTATTTCAATAGTGATGGATAGTCATATTTAAAAGCTAAACTTTGACATTACATCATCTACAAAAATCAACTCAGAATAGATCACAGACCTAAATGTAAAAGCAAAACTATAAAACTTCTTCCAGAAGAAAACATAGGATAAAATCTTAACAATCATGAGTTTGGCAAAGATTTCCTAAGTAGGAAACAAAAAGGAGAATTATGAAAGAAAAACATCAATAAATTAAGCTTAAACTAAAAATTTTGGCTGGGCATGGTGGCCCATGCCTGTAACTCCAGGATTCTGAAAGGCCAAGGAAGAGGATCTTGAGCTCAAGAGTTTGAAGCTGCAGTGAGCTATGATTGCATGATTGCACTCCAGCCTGGGTGGCAGAGGGAGATCTCATCTCTTAAAAAAAAAAAGAAATGTTCAAAAGACATTGTTATATAGGTTTATAGAAATAAAAAAAGTGCTTTAAAAAATCCTGTGGGTTGGACGTGGTGGCTCATGCCTATAATCCCAGCACTTTAGGAGGCCGAGTTGAGAGGATTGCCTGAATCCACAGGTTTGAGACCTGCCTGGACAACTTGGTGAGACCTCATCTCTATAATAAATCAAAAAATTAGCTGGGTATGGTGACACATGCCTGTAGTTCCAACTACTTGGAAGGATGAGGTGGAAGGACTGCCTGAGTCCAGCAGGTCAAGACTGCAGTGGCTGTGAGTATGCCACTGCACTCCAGCCTGGACGACAGAGTGAGACTCCAACTCAAAAAAAAAAACAAAAAAAAACCTGTTTATGAATATGAAAAGTCAAGTATAGATACAAAGACTTGTAAAGGAATGTTCTCAGGAGCTATAGGATATCTCACTTTATTGCAGTTTGCTTTACTGAGCTGAGCAGATTGCATTTTTTTACCAGCCAAAGGCTTGTGGCAACCCTGCATGGAGGAAGTCTATCGGCGCCATTTTTCCAACAGCATATGCTCACTTCATGTTGCTGTATCATATTTTGGTAAGTCTCACAATATTTTATATTATTATATGTTACTGTGATCTGTGATCTTTGATGTTACTATTGTAATTATTTAGGATGCCACGAATTGTGCTCATATAAGATTGCAAACTGAGTAAAT